TAGCACCCTCTATTACATGGGACACATAGCATAGCTAGTGAATAGTGGGTGTTCCATTGTACAGTGGCATTAAGTGCCGTAATGTGCACCTCTGCCTAAATTCCTTCGGGGATAAAAGGCGTGATGTTATGTATGTTTTTTTGTCATAGAATAGGAGGAAAACGAGCAGACGGATTACTTGATGGTAAGCGAATTTAATTAGAACGATTCGATCAATGCGATATTCTTAGGAAGTAAAGCATCATTTATTATTATAGGCGCAATGGCTTATCTACATGAGTAAATTATTTATCTAACACTTGTTTATGTAAAACTAAGTATACAATAAATATTTATAAGTCAAGATCAAGAACGGCTAGACTGATATTCATGATTTTTTATAGCTAATTATGACCATCAGTCGTAGTACATCCACTGCTAGTTAGATGACTTAGAGACAATTGAACATCGCATTTAGGTCCCCGAAAATGTAGAATATATTGCTACCCTTCTATTTATTGATGAAAGTGTCGCAGTTTTAGAATAGGTCTGTAGTTCCTGAATGGTATAAGTTGGGTGTCACATTGATTTTTTTTTTTTTTTTGTTGACGTTCGAACGTGTGATCCACAGATCGTTGTTCCAGGTCTGGGTGTCATGTGTATGTGAACTTGTATGTTTGTAAACGCACCCACGACACAGGAGAAAATCCTAGTGTGGGGCAATGTTTTTTTTTAAATAAAAGATAAAAAGTCTTTCTGGTCTAATTGAAATAAATGATTTTGACTTTGACTTTGTGTCTTCAAGGCCCCCGTGAATAGGTTGCCTATGGGATGACGTGCTCCATCGTAGACCACGTCATCGCATACCACCAGACGAGATAGTGGGCAAACGTCAGTCCATCAAATATTAAAAAAATGTTTACAAATTGTTTTAGAGTATAAACGAGGTGTTTTTTAGTCAGTAAGAGTCTGACACTCTCTCTCTCGTCTCATTCAAGGCGGGAGAAGCCACTGGATGATTTTCTCTCCTCAAAAAAATTACATAACATAACATCACGCCTTTAATCCTCGAAGGGGTAGGCAAAGGTGTATATTACCACTGTACAATGTAACACCTACTTTTCACTATTTATGTTATGAGTCTCATGTAATAGGGGGTGAGCCTATTGCCATATACCGGACACAGTTCCAGACTCCGTGCTACTACTGAGTATTTTTAAAAAACCCAGTAATACTTTGCCCGACCCGGGAATCGAGCCCGAGACCCCTTGCCCCGCAGTCGCAATTACGACCACTCGGCCAACGAAGCAGTCAGAAAAAATGACTATAATATAAATATTTGTATCAGTTCAATTATATCGATTCCATCGCGCCCATAGTATGTCGGTAGCCTTAACTAGATATCTACTATATAGTATACATTACCTATATAATGAGATATATACCTAGTTGCAAACTGAATGGGACACATTATTGTACTAGACTTTGACCAAGCAGCACATCCTCATGTTTAAAGCCATTAAAGTTCAATTTAATAGGCTCACTACTTGTGTTTAAAGGCCAAAATTGTTTGTTAATAAGACGGTGTTCTGATTATTTTCGTTTGAAAAGTTTATTGAATTCAAATTCCGAATTTGAACTTTAAGTGAATTTTAGTTTTGTGCGATTTTTAACTCTGTGAACTGTAAGTAGATTTTTCATAGTTACATACACTTTTACGATATAGTTGTAGATAATTATGTTGATTTGTAAAGATTGGAGTTTAGGTTGCATAAATTAATTTTCCGAAGCCATTTTTTTTATTAATAAACTAACTTAAATTCAACCGGCGTTGTGTGATAAGCAGTGATCGGAAAAAGGTGAGCTAATTTACGTAAACTTCAAGGAACAAAAACAAAAAGTGGAGACTTCCTTACTACAACATTTTTTTCGGGAAAGTTCCGGTTCCAGTTTCGGGATATTTATATATTACATCTTACATCTATATACATAAAAGGAAGTCGTGTTAGTTACACTATTTATAACTCAAGAATGGCTAAATCGATTTGGATGAAAATTGGTGGGGAGGTAGCTTAGAACCAGGAGACGGACATAGGATACTTTTTACCCAATTCTTTTTTTTTTACTTTTTACCGAAAATCAAGAACGATAAACGGGAAATATCGGGATTGCGCGTACGAAGTCGCGGGCAGAAGCTAGTTTAATATAATTGTTATTAATACAGAAAACAATTGATTTCGTTTCGTGATTTTATTTCTTAAATTTAACACAAAACCAAACAAAATTAAAACTTTTATTGTTTTAACAATAAATATTTAAACTGTCAAACACCAAGCGGTCACCGGTGACCGCGACCTATTGTTCTTTAATTGTGTCTGTAAAACCGGTACTCGACGAGTTAAAGATATAAGAAAGAGCATAAAATAAAGTTATTCAACACTAAAGTTATATTAAGACAACCATTTAAATGTGATAAGTTTTAGTACCAAACAAAACAAAACCTAAGTACTGTGTGAAGCCCATTGTCTTGCACAGATAGTCGACAGAATACGTATCTGATTTTAACTCTGAGATATAATTTATAATTAAATTATAATGACGTACAAAATTTTAATCTTTAAAGTAAGTTATTAGGTCCTAATTCATTAATATTAACAAAAGACGACCTCGTTGGCTGAGTGTTCGCAAGTATGATTGCCGGGCAAGGGGCAAAGCACCTCGGTTTCGATTCCCGGGACTCGCAAAGTATTACTGGGTTTTAAAAAAATCTCAGTTGTAGCACGGAGTCTGGAATTGTGCCCTGTATATGGCAATAGGCTCACTCCCTATTACATGGGACTCATAACATAAATAGTGAAAAGTGGGTGTTACATTGTACAGGAGCATAATGTGCACCTCTGCCTACCCCTTCTAGGATAAAAGGCGTGATGTTATGTTATGTATTATGTGTCTCAGTAGTAGCAATATCAAATCAAAACATATCAAATTGATTCGCAGAAACATGTGTACACAATACATATATGTAGAAGCGGTACTTGGGCGTTCATTTATGGTTTTTTTTTTTAAGGGGGAAACATCATCGAATGACTGTTCCCGCCTGGGGGAGGCGGAAGGGAGTGTCAGACTCTGACACTCCCTCCACTGACTAAAATCCACCCCGTTCCTTCTCCTGCACGTCGAGCCGGAGTCCCGGTTACCCGTTAGGTTCTCCGCGACATTTATATAGACCTACCAAGCTTCGAACGACCTTGATTCCTGATTAGGGACAACTAGGAAGTCTAGGAAGTAGTGCACTGTAGGAAGCTAACACATGTCTGCCAAGCCAAAACAATGCTTATTCCATATACTATTACATTTCAATATCATTCAAACCTCCTTCTTGATATGTCTCTTGATTGACGTGATGACATGACCATCAATTCCTTGTCACTTCAGGCGTGAGCAACATAAATATAAAACGTAATAAGAAACTCCTATTTACAATGGATTTTAAACTTTGAAACATCAAGTATACAATTCAATGTCCAATGTTCTGATGATATATGATACTTATGATATTGACAATGAATATTAATTAATTGCAGTTGTATTATTGCATCGGATGACACTCGTTATCTTGAATAGTAAACGCATTATAACATATGTGATAAAAAGTCTTTGACATGAGTTATTGGCCTTAGTTCTGAGATATTTGACTGCCTCTTTGGCCGAGTGGTCGTAAGTGCGACTGCCGGGCAAGGGGTCTCGGGTTCGATTCCCGGGTCGGGCAAAGTATTACTGGGTTTTTTAAAAAAAATTCTTAGTAGTAGCACGGAGTCTGGAACTGTGCCCGGTATATATGGCAATAGGCTCACCCCCTATTACATGGGACTCATAACATAAATAGTGAAAAGTGGGTGTTACATTGTACAGTGGTATAATGTGCACCTCTGCCTACCCTTTCGGGGATAAAAGGCGTGATGTTATGTTATGTGTTTCTGAGATAGGGGTAAGCAGGATACCTAAGAGAGTTATAGGCACTAATTTTGCTCTTGGAAGTTTTTATCAAATGCGCGTTTTTAAGGATTAATAAATGACGACCTATTAATGCAGAGCAATGATGTCTAGTTTTTTATAACTGATCTCCAACAAATTGTTTTATATACTACGTTTAAAAAATCGCTAGAAAACCTCTCTTTTTTGATGTCTTAACTTAAGGAAGGTTAGCTGAACATATTTTGATGCGGGTTTTCAGAAAAGGGTTTTTTAAACATTAGAGAAGGTTTTAGTATATTAATTAACCGACTTCAAAAAATGAAGGAATTTTTTAAAGGTAGTTTATAAAAGATTTATTTTCTATATCACACATATACACACATATATTTTTTATATCACATAAAGTTCTCATAAAGTTTTCTGCGCTACATACACCCAGACAAAAAACCTTTTTATGGATTACAAAAAGAATAATTACCTATGTGAGGGGATTGACTGTCGCGATGGCCGAATGCTCGCAAGTGCGACTGCCGGGGCAGATTCCTGGGTCGGGCAGAGTATTACTGGATTTTTTTTTAATCTCAGTAGTAGCACGGAGTCCGGAATTGTGCCCGGTATATATGGCAATAGGCTCATCCCCTCTTACATGGGACTCATAAAATAAATAGTGATAAGTGAGTGTTACATTGTACAGTGGCATAAAGTGCCGTAATGCGCACCTCTGCCTACCCCTTCGGAGTAAAAAGGCGTGATGTTATGTTATGTTATGGGATAGAAACTACTACACATTACGAAGTAGCCGATTATCCAGCCTCCACACAAACTGTATAGACACTCGATATAATCACTGCCGAGTCCTCAAACAATCACCGGTGATCACTCTCCACTTATTCCATTACAGACCTTATTTCCGATGTTTAGAGACTACTTTTGTATGGACAAATAATGTGAATTATTCGTACAATATATCAAATGATTAAAATTGTTCCAGATTACATAAAATTTTGAAAGGACTAAAAGGACCGAAGGCACTAAAAGGACCAAAAATGAGTATACCTAAGATGAACAACGACTCCGTACACTGGTACGTGGGGGAGATCGCATCTCGTATTATAGCTGAGTCTGGTATCGCTACAGATCGATACCATCTCGGCAAGTTACTGCTACAGTCGTTAAAGGATGATCCTGAATTTGTATTGCAGGTAAAATCTTAATATATATACATCTTGTGTCACAATGTTTGTCCTCAATGGACTCCTAAACCACTTAACCGATTATAATAAAATTCGCACACCATGTGCAGTTCGATCCAACTTGAGAGATAGGATAGTTTAAATCTCAAATTATAATCGCAATTTTAATTTATTGCTAATTATTTGACTGTTATTATTTGACAGTCACAATTATATGTTAACTCCAAATGATTTTAACAGATGTCGATACCTTTCGACTGGGTTGAGTAAGTAATCAATAGATAGCGCTGCTATGGTAAATCTACGAACGTGTCATATAAGCTACGTTTTAACAGCATAATTACCACGTGTTGTTGACGCTATTAGAATATATATAATACATGCATATTGTACCCGTGCGAAGCCGGGACGGGTCGCTAGTAACTATATAAATTGTTTTTATAATAACTATCGTGAGCCATACTAAATTAACTAAATATCGCGGGTTACTCACATGAATATACGGAGAAAAGCTCTACTAGTTTCGAACCACAGAGGAGTTCTTCATGAGCAGCGTGTGATGTCGCGCAGCCTATTGTAGGCTGCTAACTGCTGCTAAGTAACCCACAATTTTTAGTTAATTATATAAATTACTTCAAACTCTCCATAGTCATCATAACATCCTATCGTCATTCCGGTTGCTTTCTTTTTTGCCCCTTAGGTATCTTCAGTTCGCGAGATCTTTCCCATCCTTTGCAATGATTGCCGTTCCACGCATATCGTCGGCTAGGACATTAAGCCAGTGCTTCTTAGGTCATCATACCATGATATCTACAACAATCAATTGACATAAATGGCTTATTAACGGAAACGAACCGAGAAAATCTATACTCGTTAAGTAGCTGATAATAGCTACGTGAGCCAATGTGGACGCCGCCGCGCCGCGTACGTTACTCATGAATAAAAGCCCCCGTGCAACTTGAAATCATTAGAGTTTTTATCCAATAATTCATTATTATAATTCAGCCGTATATGTATGTCTCAAGATAGTTAGTATTATAAAATAATATCTACGCCTTTATTTTAGATTGAGGGTGCCACAGGAGAATCAGAAACCTTTGGTTCAGTTATAGAAAGGACAGTGAAATGTGCAAACTGCTTCAAGAATTTGGGTCTTGGACATGGAGATGTGATGGTACTGATGGCTCCTAATCATTTGGACATCACCATACCGATGTATGCTGCATTGTATCTTGGTGTTATAGTTGCTGCAGTGGATAGGACGTTGACTGCAAGTAAGTAGAATTTTTGGTCTTCTGAAGTCCTTTAGGTCTCAAGTAGGAACTCAAATAAGTTCTGGGTAATAGGTTGTGGTGTGTTATGGTTTAGCGACCCATAGTGGATCTTGGAATCCAATGCATGACTTCTCTGTTTCACGCGGTTTTTTGGTAGCTATTTGCCATTTATCAACTCGAAACTCTCTCAAATCTTCGCAGTTATTTAGCAACTTGATTTAATAGTTAAATTGGGATGATGACAGGGTATGAAAATTCAAAATAAAATTAGTCCGTAAGTTAGGTAATAAAAAAATATGAGACACGTATTTTTTTTTATTTAGTCGTATAATAAAACAATACTTAGATAAAACGAATCTAAGTTTAGGAGTGGGGGCTAAAACGTCATTTCTACGTATAAAATGTACATAGAAGTGACGTCACGCGACATTTCAAATCAATATATCGTCGAAAGTAACTATTCGTTTCTGTAAGAAAATAAAAAATACGTGTCTAATGTTTTAAAATAATCTACCAGACGGACATTAAAATAAAAGTTAGGCATCTAGCCTATTGTCGTTTTATATACAAATAACTCATTTATTTCTACAACTTAATGAGACACACACAACTGGACGGTATTCAAATAACATCTTTGAAATGCATGATTACAAGTTCTTATATTGTTTGCTGTGGGAAAATGGGCGGGATCCATTTAAGTATCTACTTGCTACTAGGTTCAGCTATTTAATCACTCTATGATTAGATGACAAACAGAAGAGCTTAACACACTATACAGCACGGTGGGACCAAAATAACCATGACAGATTACATCCTTATTGCCAGGTAATAAGGATGTAATTTATGTCCTATTATTTTCTTCTTCTAGATGAGCTACAACAAACGTTTGCCTTCTCAAAACCAAAGATAATCTTCTGCCAAAGCGAAAGGGCTTCAGACGTTCAGTTGTCCTTGAATAATCTAACCATGGACGCTCAAATAGTGAGCTTCGATAAAGGGGATTATCTTTGCAGTTTTAGTGACTTCATGGAACAGTATGGAGATGATTCTCCTATTGAGGAGTTTAAGTAAGTCCTTATTAATTTAATAGCATTTAAATCAACCTGTAGGTTAAATTCATAGAGAATTAAATTCAATGATGGAGATCAATATTCACTTAATTTGTGGACTACTCAACATTGCGCCTTTTATTTCCGAGGGGGTATGCAGAGGTGCACATTATAGCACTTCATGCCACTGTATAATGTAACATCCACTTTTCACTATTTATGTTATGAGTCCCATGTAATAGGGGGTGAGTCTATTGCCATATACCGGGCACAATTCCAGACTCCGTGCTATAACTGAGATTTTTTTAAAAACCCAGCAGCAATTTGCCCGACTCGGGAATGGAACCCGAGATCCCTTACCCGGCAGTCACGCTTGCGACGACTCGGTCTTCTAGGCAGTCGGGTACTCAATTTGTTTAAAACAATTTTTTCTGGAATATTTAGTTTACTCACCTATAGTAAAAAATATTACTGATTTAAGTTTTTAACCCCAGCCGATTGGATATAACTCAAGTGTTGGTTTCATAATAATTATACACTACACAACTACCTCTATTATATTTTGCGAAAAGTGGTAAGTAAGATGACGCTAAACAATTTGATTTGACCATTAGGTGTTCGGATTTCGACCCTGAGGACTCTGTGGCTTTCCTAATAGCGACCAGTGGAACAACAGGCATGCCTAAAGCAGCTGCCGTTACCCACAAGAACTTCTCTATCGTATCACCATACGTGTGGTAAGAAATCAATTCTTTTACAATTTGATATTCGATAAAGTGTGGGAATAGACATGTGCGGATGCCATGGTTGAATAGACTTGAAAAAAGTTCTATTTTGTAAATGACTTGAGTTTTATTAACTGTAAGTAAATTTTAGTGTGTCTAGTTTGTTATAAATAACATTTATAAAGTGGGTAAATGACAGTTTTTTTTCTGAGATAAGTCCATAGACGACCAGCGGATCATATGATAGTAAGCAATCGGCGCCGCCCATGGACACCTGAAACATCAGAACTGTCACAAGTGCATTACCGGCCAGGAAATTGGGAATTTGAGGATTATGGGGGATTCGGGGATTGGATAGACTGAGGAGGGGGGAAGGAGGTTATTGGGCTTCCGGTAACCTCACTCACACGACGAAACACATCGGAAGCGTTGTTTCACGATGATTTTTTGTGAGGCCATAGCAAGCATGGTTTTCCCACACTTAAAATTATATTTTTAAGTCTATTATTAAGTATTTTATTCTCATGTTCTGAACAGGTCCAGGTACACCACGTTTCCAACACCAACCAGTCTCTCATTGGTGGGAGCACCTCTGCAGTGGCTGTCTGCCATCTTGAATTTTATTCTATCACCCTTATTGAGGTTCACAAGACTTCAAACCACACTACCTTTGACGCAGGAGCACGCCTATGATCTTATTAATACTTATAAGGTAAGTAGAAATGTAAAAGTTTCGTCCATTAATTATGAGCTACTTAATTAGAGAAGTCCATTTTAATTAGAATAAATTAAATCAAAAGGAATAAATAAATTAACACCAATAAAAAAATTCAACAGAAAGACGTTCTGCTGTCCATTTTTATTTGTCAACACGGACTTGTACCTTGTTCAATAAAACAAACCAACAAATAAACTAACAGGTAACTATGAATAGTTTGAACTTCGGCTCAGCGGGGCTACTGAAGCGGGGAAGAAGTAAAGAGGATCCAATTAAACCAATTAAAAAGATCATAAAATTATTATCATATCAGATCATCCTTACTTCCTTACTAATATTATAAATCTGAAAGTGAGTTCGTTTGTTTGTTCCACTTTCACGCCGTAACTACTCAACCGATTACTTTGAATTTTTGCAGACGTAAAGTTAGAAGTCCGGATTAAATAATAGTGTACTTTTTAACTCGGAAAAACTGATATTCCCGAGGAAAAACAAAAGTATTGGTATAGATGGCGCTGTGTGTATTGGTATATGTCACATAGGCTACTTTTTATTCTTTTGTGACGCGAGCGAAGCCGCGGGTAAAAGCTAGTAAGATTATAAAAGGATTTATGACTGGATTTTGGTCCTTACAGCCCACGTACACAGTCCTAAGTCCCACATTGATGACGACGCTGATTAAACCTGATGATCGCGACCGCTGTGACTTTTCAAACTTTGACCTCATCATGCTGGGGGGAAGTGCTGTGCCGCAGACTTTGGTTGAGGAATTAAAGGTTAGTTTTAAAAATATAGGTGTAAAAAAAAGAAACTTATAGATAAAAAGTAACTTATAAGATAGCTTTGTTCAACTAGAAAAATAATAATCTTTTATTACGTAAAAAAAAGTACACAAGTATACATTAATTTGATACAAGTCATAATGTCTGTCTGTCTGTCTAGAAGACCGACTTTTGCGAAAACCATTCTTACTACACACTAGGATTTTTTCCTAGGTCATGGGCGTGCGTTTACAAACATGCAATTTCACGTACCTATACATGACACCCACACCCGAAACAACAATTTGTGGATCACACAAAGAGTTGCTCCGTGTGGGAATCGAACCCGCTACTCGTTGCACGGCAGCGAGTTGCTCAGCCACCGCACCAACTGCCTAAAATCATAATTTTGAATAGGATTTTTACAGTCTAACCATAGAGTCTATTTTTCGAATTTATCGTAACCTTGATTATAACTGGTTACTGTTTTTGATATCCTCTGAGAACTATTCAAAAAGATTTTGGGAAATGCTCAGTACAATTGCGATGATAAGTCCGTAAGTTAATTAATTAAAAAAATATTAGACACATATTTTTTTATTTCGTTGTATAATAAAACAATACTTAGATAAAACGAATCAAAGTTTAGGAGTGGGGGCTTAAACGTCATTTCTACGTATAAAATGTACATAGAAGTGACGTCACGCGACATTTCAAATTAATATATTATCGTAGAAAGTATTCGTTTCTGCAAGAAAATTAAAAATACGTGTCTAATGATTTGAAATAATCTATCAGACGGACCTAGCAAAGGAAAATGACCTTTTTTTAAATAGAATTTTGAAATAATTAACGTTTATTTTAGGTTGTAGCGCCTGATGCAGAAATCATAAACGTGTTTGGCATGAGTGAACTAGGAGGCATTGCTTTTCATGGTGATAATATTGCGCCGGGATCTTGTGGAAAACCAATAGGCTGTTTCCAATACAGGGTAAGCACATAATACATGTAGTCCTATCGTCTAAACTACTCTTTAACTCGTCGAGTACCGGTTTTATAGACACAATTAAAGAACAATAGGTCGCGGTCACCGGTGACCGCTTGGTGTTTGACAGATTAATTAGGCTTAAAAAAGAAATAAAGAAGATTTTGTAAAACCATACTTTGTTTAAAATCGATTAAAACATATTATGGTAAGCGATTACATATTTTACATCGCTCAATTGTGATTGGTTGCTAATATTTTATTGTTTTAGATTATAAATGTAGATACACAAGAAGATATCTACGAACCCAATGTTCCTGGAGAGTTGTGGCTCAAAGGACCAAGTGTATTTAAGGTAAGAAAATACCCAATTTTGTATCAAATTATACCTATAAGGCTTTTTGCTAGGTATATGACTTAAGTGGCTAACAGAAAAATACAATAAAAAAACATTGCTATCTTGTAATATGTAGAAAGTTGCGGGTATAATGTGTTTTATATACCGGGAGGCGGTGTTTCAATAGATACAAGGTTAGAAAACTACATTTGGTTTCCTATGAGGGGATAAGGCGAACACTAAGAATAGACGTCTTTATGAAAAAAGGGCACTGATGAAGTAACAGGCATAAAGTATCATTATTTTATGCCAATACGGAGCCACGGAAGACTTAACGGGTTGCCGGGGCTCCGACTCGAAGGGTAGGAGTAGGAACGGGGTGGTTTTTAGTCAGTAAGATTGTGATACTCCCTCCCGCCTCACCCAGATGGGAGAAGACATTCGATGATTTTCACCCCTTAAAAAAAGTATCATTATTTAAACATTCATAAAAATTGTTATAGGAATACTATAATAACGCAGAGGCTACAGAAGAGACCTTCGCAGAAGACCGTTGGTTCAAAACGGGAGACACTTTCTACAGAGATGAAAACTGGAACTTCTTCTTTGTGGAGAGGATCAAGTTACTACTGAAATATAAAAGTTATCAGGTTCGTATTCACAAGAGTGAGAGTTACCCAAGAGGAATTAATTTACAACCACAAAACAGTGTTTCAAAATATAGATGACACTAATATTTTTTTATTTGGGCGAATAATAAGATGTCGTTCACAACTTTTACCTTATCTGATTTGTCATTTCTCCTAAACTTGTTTCCTTGTAGAAGGAAGCCCAAAGATTTTCTTTAAATTAAAGTAAAATGTCAAAATACAAAGAAATTAATATATTATGTATGTTATGTTTTTCGGTTTACTGTCGTAACTGTTTGATAAGGAACTTGACTAGTTTCAATTCATACTAGAGGCTCATATTCATGAGCAGCATTCCGCGACACGCGACGCAGCAAATGTCGCCAGTGTGTAAGCCGAAAACATAATAATTAATTTAGTCATTGTCACGAAAGTTATAACATAAATTGGAAAGATTTTATTATTTGTTTTGACTTTGAAGTAGTTGTTATTAGACTAATAATAAGCCAGATAATAAAAATTTTTTAACCAACTGACATGTAATCTTATTCTTCTAAACTCAGATATCACCAGTAGAAATCGAAGGCGTTATTCGTCAGCATCCAGGAGTTCTAGATGTGGCTGTGACGGGTATACCAGACGATGAGTGTGGTGACCTGCCAGTTGCGGTTGTGGTGCCAAGACCTGGAGAAGAACCGACCGCTGATGATATTAAGAACTGTGTTAAAGGTACCGATATACGATATAATTTTGGTTTTAGTTTTTATCAACCGACTTCAAGAAAAGGAGGAGGTTCTCAATGCAACTGTATTTATTGAGTTGATGGTCATTAAGGTTTATGTGGTCTTTTGAACCTTCTCCAGAAATAATTCTGAAAATGGTAAGTTATATAGAAGATAAGGACGAATGAGAGGAACCTTCAAAAGGCACTTGGCTTATGGGGAGAAAGATTATGAGGCGGGGGATTTATAAGTCACTAAAATCACTCCGATGGCACCTATAAATAAAAGGTGTCTAAATAGACCACCTCCTAAGATACTATAAATTACTCTTAAAACTGTGCCTGCCTGCCTTGTTGGCTGAGTGGTGGCAAGTGCGACTGCCGGCTTTAAATATTCTCAGTAAGTAGGACGGAGTTTGAAAATGTGCCCAGTATATGGCAATAGGCTCACCCCCTATTAAATGAGACTTACATTATAAATAGTGAAAAGTGGATGTTAGATTGTACAGTGGCATTAAGTAACAAAACACACTGACACCTCGGGGATAAAAGGCGGGATGATGTATGTAAAACTCTAAAAAAGTAATATTCTTTCGTATTCTTACAGATGCGCTGTCAGACTCGAAGCAACTTAGAGGGGGTGTGATATTTGTGGAGGCTATACCAATGACAGCTTCAACCAAAGTACACCGAAGAAAACTGAAGCAGTTGGCGTTAGAATTACCAAGAGAATAAAATATACAACAGCCTGTAACTGTCTCGCTGCTGGATAACGATATCTTCTTAAGCGAAGAAAGAATATTTATCATCATCATTAGACGGTATCCGTCCTGAATTGAAGATAAACTAGATCTGATTCATTGATTAAAATTTCGATAGGATTTTTTTTTATTTGTTTTTTTTTATTTTTTTTTATAAAACGTTGCCCCACACTATGATTTTCGCCTGTGTCGTGGGTGCATTTACAAGCATACAAGTTCACAAACACATGACACCCAGACCCGGAAAAACAACCTGTGGATCACACAAAGAGTTGTTTCGTGCGGGAATCGAATTCGCGACACGTAGCGCGGCAACCAGTTGCCCGACCACCGCGCCAACCGAACCGTGTAGTCTGATTGAAGGCAAATAAGTAGACAGATCACCTGTTCGTAAGTGATCAGTTACGCTCATGAACTACCTAGGTTTTACATGGTAGCCAGTCTTTCGGGGCGGGGTTTGTTTATCTCTTGTCTGTTACATTGATATACAATAGGATAGTAGACAAATTTTTTCTTCAATGTCCGTCTGATAGATTATTTTAAAACATTACACACGTATTATTATTTTTTCATTTTTTACAAAATTAAATACTTTCGTTTGACGATATATTGATTTGAAATATCGTGTGACGTCACGATGTACTATATTTTATAGGGTAGCGTGACGTAACGACCTCCCACTCCTAAACTTAACTCCGTTTTATCTAAGTATTGTTTTCTTATACGACAAAATAAAAAAATACGTGTCTAATATTTTATTATTATCTAGCTGACGGACTAATTACATTTTTAATTTTCATACACTGTCTACCCCAGTTATAATGAGAAAGTACACCTAATTTTCTTTCAATGATGATTAATTATAATTATGTGAACTTTCCCATGCTCTAATCCTAATACCAAGGACGTTGAAAAATGGCACACACAGTCTCTTGAAACAACGACTGCGGCACCTGGCTACTATAGACTTACACGCAGTACATACACACATTGACACGAAGGACATCTGTCATTTTCTTAAGTCTGGTAACGTGGTGGCCAACACATGCAAAGACATAAAAAAACCACCGACATTTTATTGCTTCAATCATTTCTTAAAGACATTATGTCCACCTTTTATCAATATCTGTGTGTGATAGGTACTCAATTTAGACTAGAATATGAAAATCTTATGTTTCTGTATCGGATTATTTCTTATTTATATTTGTATAGACTGCCTCGTTGGCCGAGTGGTCGCAAGTGCGACTGCCGGGCAAGGGGTCTTGGGTTCCCGGTTGATTCCCGGTTCGGGCAAAGTATAATAGGGTTATTAGAAAAATTTCAGTAGTAGCACGGAGTCTGGAATTGTGCCCGGTATATGGCAATAGGCTCAACTCCTAGTGTGAAAAGTGGGTGTTACATTGTACAGTGGCATAATGTGCACCTCTACGTACTCTTTCGAGGATAAAAGGTGTGATGTTATGTTATGTTATATTTGTATAATATTATGAGTAATAGCTTGTTATGACAATGTTTATTATTATAAATAGTTCGTAGATAGCACAATATTGACATTCATATTAATTTATACTCGTAGTAATAATTTATAGCTCAATAAATGTATCATATTAGAATGGAAAATTAAAAATATAATTGTAATTCAGTAATAAACAATTCCCTGTATTAATTATTATAAATATAATTATTAATAATAATTTAGCAAATAAAATATCTAGACTTAGCTTACGAGATTTTCGACATGTGGAGTGTGGATCCGGCTACCATTGTGCCGATAGTCGTGTCGGCCAATGGGTTAATCCTTAAAAGCCTCGACATCCATCTTAGGAGGCTGGCGTTAGGTGGATGGATCAAGGGCCTGATACAGAAGGCAGTTCTCCTTGAAACGGCACGTATCGTGAGGAGGTTTCTGTCTCTGGAGCCTTAACCACCGGTAGTTTGGACCATGTTCCCGCTGCTATTTTTTATACTTTTAAATATTATGTTATTTTTTGTTAAGTAGTATTTAAAAATGTAACTTATAGAGATTTTTAACTAAATATATTATTATAAAATAATTCATTTTAAAGACATTTTAATTTATTTGATATTTTCAGTGTTACCTATTTAAGCAGTAGGTACCAAATACACTAGCAAATAACTATAGCCTTGCTTCGTAAATCAATTAATGAATACAAGGACTATGCATACAAAAACACGCATTTACTTTGTAATTTGCATTGTAATATTGTACTGTAATATTAAAAGTTAATTTGCACCATGTAGATAATTTTAGAAATAAGTAAAAAACAAAGTTGTAAATGAAAAAAAAATTCTAAATAAATAAATTCTGATTATAATTTACAAGTGTTTCTTTTATTTTATCTGCATAATAAACATCAGCATCTTCATAAACACCCCGTAGACTGTTAGTATATGATCCTCTTTACTTAAAAATTCCTAATACTGACTTAGAGGCTGCACACAGGGCCGTCTTAGGGCTCGTACGCAACGCAAAACATGGCGATGCGATTTCGTGCGACAAGGCGTCTCCCAGAGTGACTATTCCTTCGACGACCGTCAACCGTACTAAACGTATTTTAAACCGTCAAACACCGCGAGGACACCGGTGACCGCAACCTATTGTTTTTTAATTGTGTCTATAATGACGGTACTCAAAGAATTAAATTGAAATCTAGGTCGTTACATGAATCGTAAAAAGAAGTGTGCACTTCTGTTAAATTGCTTAGGAGGTACAGAAAAAAGAAACAAAGAAGATTTTGATGCGTGATGCGAATCAATTCGCAAGGTCGCAAGGTTGCGATGCGTCGCATCGCGGTTTTATGTACGAGCCCTTAGACTGCTCCTGGGGCACACGAAAACCATACATACAAACTCATTCACAAACTTCAGCATTTATACCTACTAGTTTCACTGGCGCACAGACTGACATACTATTATTTATTTTCTATAATAATATGTTGACGTTTCAAAAGGACCAAATTATGGTTTATTAATTAAAATAAATGCTTTTGAGTTTGACTTCATAATATTAAGTAAGATTGGACAAACACTCCTGACACTGCATTGGCGCCATCTGGCGAGTAAAAATAGATATTAGGACCTTGACTACTATCCCACTTAGTATGATTAGACACGTTATCTATACCTTATACTATTATATAACATCCTACCGCCTGACGCAGGTCCTCACCGGACATGGAAGTTTCGGGAGGTACCTGTGTCTGATGGGGCGGGAGGAAACGCCCGGGTGTCATCACTGCGAGGACCGCCCTGAGGACACGGTGGAACACACCGTAGCGGAATGCCCAGCGTGGGCTGAGCACCGCCGTGCCCTCAGGGAAGTGATCGGCGATGGCGACCTCTCGCGTCCGGGCCTAGTGCAGGCCATGATGCGGAGCGAGGGGGACTGGGATGCCGTCTCCTCCTTTTGCGAAGCAGTCATGCTAGCTAAGGAGGAGGCGGGACGCGTGAGGCAGCGAAGCGCTGCCTCCTCGCAACCCAGCCATCGCGAAGGACACACCGGGCGTCGGGGATCGCGGGACGATCTCCGGCCACCGTAAGCGCGGGCCTGCGGACGGCGAGCATGGGTGGCTCCCCGTCCGACCAGAAACAGACCCGAGCGTACGGCGCGTCGCGTTCCGCGCGCGCCTCAAAGAGCCATCAGACCACCACAGATGGGGCCCAATAGGGCCGATGCCGATTCGGAGTCGCGGAGAACCTAACGGGTAACCGGGGCTCCGGCTCGACGTGCAGGAGAAGGAACGGGGTGGTTTTTAGTCAGTAAGAGTCTGACACTCCCTTCCGCCTCACCCAGGCGGCAGCAGTCATTCGATGATTTTCCCCCCTTAAAAAAAAAATACTATTATATAACATAATAATACTAATACTATTATATAAAGCGGAAGAGTTTGTTTTTTGTTTGTTTGTTTAAACGCGTTAATCTCCGTAATTACAAGTCTGATTTGAATAATTCTTTTTGTGTTGGATAGCGCATTTATCGAGGATGGCTATAGGCTATAAAACATCCCGCTAAGACCAATAGCAGCTGAACAAAGCATGTGTAACAGTGCGGAAGTAGCTAGTGTATATATAAAAATGAAACCCGTTTCCCGTTGTCACGCCATAACTTGAGAACGGCTAGATTGATTTGGCTGGTTTTTTGTGTGTTTATTATTGTCAGGAGAAAGTTCTTATGACAGAAAAAGGTCCAGAAAATCCTACGGGAACGGGAGAAAACGGGATTGCACGTACGAAGTCGCGGGCAGAAGCTAGTATTATAGTATAAGTAATTATATATAAACATATTATACTTTGATCTTTAAATAAAAATCGCAAAGTCATTATGAGTAGTCGTAGTCATCACTGTTATCTTAGTCGGTTATAAAGTGCGTAACTAACATGATCGTCTTAAAATGATAAATAATGTTATGTAATAAACTGGCTTTTCCCCGCGACTTCTCTCGTGGAAGTTGGTCGAAACACCCCAGCGAGGTTTAGATGGTCAGATTAAGTTACTTTTGGGGTTAATCTTATACTAACTTAACAACACCTTTTATCCCTGTAGCAAGAGGTGCACATTATGGCTCTTAATGCCAGTGTACAATGTAACACCCATATTTCACTATTTATGTTACGAGTCCCATGTAATAGGGGGTAGTCTATTATCATATACCGGGCAATATTCGAGACTCCGTGTTACTACTGAGAATTTTATTTTCAAAATCCGCGTAATATTGACCGACCCGGGAATCGAACCCAAAACCCCTTGCCCGGCAGGCGCTTGCGACGACTCGGCAGACGAGGCACTCTTTGGGCTCGCTGCCATTGCAGCGGTAAGTCCCCTCTTTGAGGAGTGGCTTGAGAGACGCTACGGCGTCCTCACCTACCGCCTGACGCAGGTCCTCACCGGACATGGAAGTTTCGGGAGGTACCTGTGTCTGATGGGGCGGGAGGAAACGCCCGGGTGTCATCACTGCGAGGACCGCCCTGAGGACACGGTGGAACACACCGTAGCGGAATGCCCTGCGTGGGCTGAGCACCGCCGTGCCCTCAGGGAAGTGATCGGCGATGGCGACCTCTCGCGTCCGGGCCTAGTGCAGGCCATGATGCGGAGCGAGGGGGACTGGGATGCCGTCTCCTCCTTTTGCGAAGCAGTCATGCTAGCTAAGGAGGAGGCGGGACGCGTGAGGCAGCGAAGCGCTGCCTCCTCGCGACCCAGCCATCGCGAAGGACACACCGGGCGTCGGGGATCGCGGGACGATCTCCGGCCACCGTAAGCGCGGGCCTGCGGACGGCGAGCATGGGTGGCTCCCCGTCCGACCAGAAACAGACCCGAGCGTACGGCGCGTCGCGTTCCGCGCGCGCCTCAAAGAGCCATCAGACCACCACAGATGGGGCCCAATAGGGCCGATGCCGATTCGGAGTCGCGGAGAACCTAACGGGTAACCGGGGCTCCGGCTCGACGTGCAGGAGAAGGAACGGGGTGGTTTTTAGTCAGTAAGAGTCTGACACTCCCTTCCGCCTCACCCAGGCGGGAGCAGTCATTCGATGATTTTCCCCCCTTAAAAAAAAAAAAAAAAAAAACGAGGCACTCTTATACTACTTATTATATACAGCTAAAGAGTTTGTGTGTCTGTTTGAAAAATCCATTTTGTGTTGAATAGTTTAAATCATCGAGAAAAGTAGTACTCTACCTATTGCGACATTTGCAGTTGTAGCGTTCATCGAAGTTAAAATGTCGACTGTTGCCGTCGACGCGTCAACGAATGCCGCCTACGCGTCAGCAATTGTCACGGACGCGTCAGCGGTTGCCACCGACACGTGTCCGTATTATATACGCCATATGCAACATACTGCTCGTGTCTAAAGCTCTAAGTCGACTCATACATCACTTGAACTATAAGCATGGTGACGAATGTATTAAGCCTGTAAATTAGGTAAAAAATAAGTAACAGTCCTCAAATTCCTAATCCTCCAAAGGCCGGTAACGCACATTTGCACGGAATGGTAAGAGATCAGCGCCACCTATAGCCACCCGCAACACCAGAGGAGACACAGGTGCGTTGCCGGCAATTTCAAAAGGAATACGCTCTTTTCTTGAAGGTTTGAACTTGTAACGCCTCTGGTGTTCAGATGTCTATGGGCGACGCCGATTGCTTACCATCAGGTGATCCGTCTGCTCGTTTACCGGCTTATCCTATAAAAAGTAGTCGAGAGGAATATTATCTAAATACATGTCTATCAAAGGTCTTATCAAGCGATATTAAGTCTATAAGATAATAATGTATTGGTCTAAGCGATCTAATCAGGTAGTATAAAGATATATTTTGGTAATAAATGCAGTTTGACAAAACATGATTGCACAAATACGTATTAACATTGTAAGGAATATAATCTATTATTTAAATTATTTTACTTGTTTAGTATATAAAGCTAGATTTTGTTTATTTATTTAAACGTGGTAATCTCCGGAACTCTTGGTACGATATATTTTTTTTGTGTTTTTATAATAACTATCGTGAGAAATACTAAATTAACTAAAATCGCGGGTTACTCACGTGAATATACTGAGAAAAGTTCTACTAGTTTTGAACCACAGAGGGGTTCCTCCTCATGAGCAGAGTGCGCGGTCGTGGCGATGTCGCGCAGCTCACTGGCTGGCGTTAGCGCTCGCATCGGTATTGCTTTGCTACTTATGATGGGAGCCTAACGCGCCCTCTACCGGACATCACGAGTGTTTGCTTCCAACTCCGGCGGCGCGTTGGACGATGTTAAAGCGCACACGCTCATGAGGAAGAACCCCTCTGTGGTTCGAAACTAGTAGAGCTTTTCTCAGTATATTCACGTGAGTAACCCGCGACTGTAAGTTAGTTATTTTGTGTTGCATAGTTCATTTATAAAGGAAGGGTATTAGCCTATAACATATCACGCTACCATCAACAGGAGCCGAGCAGTACGGGTGAAACCGCACCAGTTGATTTATCTAGTCATGAATTTACATTCCAGAAATTAACAGTGTGTATCGTGTTTAATTTTCAGTAGTAAATAATAATGGCTTCTCGAGCTCACTATGCAGTACACTGGTACTTGGAGGAGATTGGAGCTCGCGTTGTGGCGAAGACCGGGATCCCTTCAGATAGACATCATCTTGGGAAGCTTATGCTGCATAGCCTGCAAGATGATCCCGACTTTATTTTACAGGTAAGTACCTTATATGTATATATTTTATTTGAATAAAACCCTACTGTAATATAGGTGAATGGTTAAACAACTTAACAAAAACATTTGTTCCTCAACATCACGGTTTTAGATTTTTCAATTTTCACCAAATATAGACCACCATTTTGACGATCAATCGATTTTAAGCACTTCATCACACTCAAACTTAAACAACGAGGCATTCTCGTTTCACTCCCGTAATAAATGTGGAAGAGCCATACTTCGGCACACATGGGCCTGCTTGACCGGAGTGATACCCCGACCTCACAGAAATAACCGGCGTGAAATAACGCTTGCGCTGTGTTTCATTGTGTGGGTCTGGTTACCGGAAGCCCAATTAAATATCCAGCTGTTAATATTAATTATTTACTACAAAACTGCTAATCCAAAATATAATACATATTACCTACCCCAGATCGATGGAGCGACAGGTGAATCAGAAACCTTCGGCTCAGCTTTAGACAGGAGCATCCGATGCGCTGTCTCTCTCACCAACATGGGGCTGAAGAAAGGCGACGTCATGGTGTTGATGGGTCCAAACCACTTAGACTTCTGTGTACCACATAATGCGGCTTTATACCTTGGAATCATGGTGGCATCAATTGACGCTACTTTGGGAGTTAGTAAGTTCAATTCCATAAAATTATAGGAGAAAAGATAACAACAGGGCTTTTTTTCTTAATGATTTTCTTTTATTTTATGATTTATCTGAAGATTATAAAAATCCTGTGTAGACGTGTATGAAATGTGTCTACGACTTTTAGCTTCAGTTGTCGATAGATCTGGTTGCTTACTCTTGAAACCAACCTCAATGTCTATGCAATTTCAATCCAATAAAATCTCAATAATTATTCAATGACAACACTATACAACTCCTATCGTAGCTGTTAAAATAGCATTCAGAAAACGGAATATAAAGCTAAGCTCAATACCATTTAGTTCATTAAATTTGTACGCAATGCGGATGCAATGGGCGCTAATGTTGCGACTCAAGAGTACGAAATTTCACAATACCAATGTCGATTGATCGGAATTGGATTCAAGATTAAGCCACCTGTTGATTAATCGCTCATTTAGTAAAACATCAAAATACTATTATTATTTTGTCATGATTTAATATTCTTTGAAATCTTTGTCATAAAAGTGCTAATTAAAATAAATTTTAATATCTCAATTTTAGATGAACTTACACAAGTATTTAAAACCAATCAACCGAAGATAATTTTCTGTCAAAGCGAGAAGACTGGAAATGTTGACGCAGCACTTAAAATGTTAAACATGGATACCAAGGTTGTGACATTTAATGAAGATAGTCACCATACGACACTCGCACATCTTCTGAAGGCTGATGAAGAAGCCGTTAAGAACTTCAAGTAAGAGTTTAAACTTAAGTAAATCTTTGTCACCCATTTAGTTTAAAATGTGTAAGAATCTATTTCAATTATTTGATTAGACTTTTGAAGCTATTTCATACAAAGTTTTTGACAATAGTCTTATTCAATAAGTATTACAAATAACTCTACATAGCAATTACCAATAAAAATGTATTATCTGTATATACGTGAGACTATTCAGACAGTATCTTCTAAGATTAATTAGACACCACTGATAAACGGTGAAGGAAAACATCGTGAGGAAAGTATAAGTTAGAAATCGCCAACCCGCAATGACCAAGCTTGGTGATAAATGCCCCATTTGAGAAGAGGCTTTGCTCAGCAGTGCGTACTTATAGGCTGTTGGTGATGACGATAAACATGAGAAAAGTACCCTTTGTAGTACAGTCAGCATCAAAAGTTGATGACTACATTTAAATTTTCATAATCGCTGTACACGGTATTATACCTAAATCGCTCAACATGACAAGCGCCAGAAATGAATGATTATCATAAAAGGGCATAAGTAGGTGACCATACTTTTCAAAAGTCGCTAAACAAAGTTATAGTAAAAGAAGCAAAACATTCTTCGTCTCTAAAGTTTCTGAACAAATTTTAGACAAAAATAGCATACTATCGTTTATCTCTAAAGTCCCTGAACAAATTGAAATGACATTTTGTGTTTAATATGTGTATGTATTTATTTCGGCAGGTGTGTGTTTGGTATACAAATAAGGTAGACACATGCACATGTTAATCACCACCCTTTTATTTATTATCAACAAAATTAAATAAAATGGTTCGATAAATCAATTCAGATAATTATTATTTGTTTTAATCAACACAATCATAATAAAATAATTTAAACTATCATAATCAAATCAATGTTTTATAAAAAAAAAAACAAGGTATGATTTTTTAACAATTAACTACAATCATGATTATACTTGAACTACTTGAAATTAAAACCTAGTGTCCCCCATTGGCATCGATGACATTTTGGAGACGTTCTCGCATGGAGTTTACCATATTTGCACAAGTATCTCGTCCCCTAAAATTTTCCCAGATTTTTATGGCGTGATTTAGTCTCGCAATATCACTATTCTGTGACGTTCATGTGCAGTAATTTGAAGATTAAATCGTATTATAATGTTTATTTGTTACCAAAGCGCAATTGATAACTAATACAATATTTATTGAGGCCAATAATATCCCATTTAATGTGTTTTAAACTGTCAAACACCAAGCGGTCACCGGTGACCGCGACCTATTGTTCTTTAATTGTGTCTATAAAACCGGTACTCGACGAGTTAATGCATAAATAAGTTCTTCAAGATTTTCTTCATTTTTGAGGGTAAGTGCGTTGAGGGCTGCGATGTAAATTTTGTCTTGTTGTTGGTATCGATTTCTGTTGCTACTGTTATCACTAATTGTTGGAGGGTTTTGGTCTTTTTCCCCCACGAGGACCAGTCGGCTTGGTGGAGTTTGGTGTTTCCTTTTTTTTTAATACAATATTTATAGATTAAACTGTCAAACACCAAGCGGTCACCGGTGACCGCGACCTATTGTTCTTTAATTGTGTCTATAAAACCGGTACTCGACGAGTTAAATATAATTACAACCACAATTTTTTATTATTGGATAAGCTGGTAAACGAGCAGACGGATCACCTGATGGTAAGCAATCGGCGTCGCCCATGGACACACGCAACACCAGAGGCGTTACAAGTGCGTTACTGGCCTTCTGGATTAGGAAATTGAGGATTGTTGAGGATTCAGGGATTGGGGAAGGGGGGGGGGGGGCTGGGTAATTGGGCCTCCGGTAAACTCACTCACACGACGAAACACAACACAACGTTTTTTCACGTCGGTTTTCTGTGAGGCCATGGTATCAAAATGGTGGCTTAAAATGGTCTACATCCGATACAAAGTGATAATTAAGTAGAAATATTATTTTTACATTCAAGTGTAAACAATTTTTCAAATACCCACAACTGTTTCCCAATGAATTGGGTAGTTTTCTGGGTCAAAAATAAATTATTTAGATTTTTCAGTTCAATTAAATATTGAAAAATAGTTACACTTTCATTCATTGATTTGCCGATATACTTAATTTTCGATTTATTCTCGCATTTTCTTTAGATATAAGTGTGCTGTTTGACGCGAAAATATGATGACGTCATAAGATGGTATTTCGTACAAAATTCATAGAACAGTATCGTTTTTGACGTTTCGATAAAAGTATTGAATTTGACTAGTTGTCAACTACCGTATTGAATTGAAACGGAATTGGTGGTAATTTTGAAAATGAGTCTTATATGTATACAGATTAGGTTCTAATTAAATCGTAACTATAGGAATCATAAACTAAGAACACGGTATGAATTTGAACAGAATCTGCGTGATTTTTGAAAATGAGTCTTATTGCTTTACGAATAAGGTTACAATTCAATCGAACTAAAAAAATAAATAATTACACGATGGTATAAATTCAAACAGAATCTGCGTGATTTTTGATAGTCAAATATGGTTACTATTCAATCGTAATACAGCAACATCGTCAACGTTTTTTAGTTTGCAGTTCAGCTACTTTTAATAGTATAAATTTACACGCTACAAATCCGAAACAAAGTAATGTTCAGTAACTTTTGTTATTAATGATGTTAAGTTATTTTTGGACGTTGCTGTGATTGCACTGGATAACCAAAAGAAGCATTTTATATTGTTCAGTGACTTTTGATATTATAACAATCAGCAATTTTTGACAAAATGGTGTTCAGTGACCTTTGACCAGTAGTGTTCAGTTAATTTTGAACTTTAAAGATGTTCATTCAATACTAGCGCCCTCTCTTGTTAAGCGATTTATGGGTGATATAATGTACAGTGATTTTGAAAATTTGAATGTGGTCATCGACTTTTGATGCTGACTGTACCAGTGACAAATAATTAAAATGCGTTTTTATGTCGCTCAGGCCAACAGACTTCGATCCAGCAGATACCGTAGCATATTTGACCTCAACCAGTGGTACCACTGGAGTACCAAAAACTGCTATGCTGACTCATAAGAACCTGAATTTAGGAACTAGTTATCTCTGGTAAGTTGACTCCAGCACCAATAACAGGGTAGTTTCCAAGGTAAGAAAATTCAAAATCTAATTAGTCCATCATCAGTTAGATAATTAAAAAATATTAGACACGTATTTTTTTATTTTCTCATATAAAGCTACAATACTTAGATAAAATGGCGTTAAGTTTAGGAGTGGGAGGTAGTTACGTCATAACGTGGTACCTACATTTTGTAGCACGCTGTGACGTCACGCGAAATTTCAAATCAATATATCGTCAAAAGCAATTAATATTGTGGGAAAAGAAAAATACGTGTCTAATGTTTTAAAATAATCTACCAGACGGACATTAAAATAAAATTTAGGCAACTACCCTATTCTTCTAAAGTAATATTATTCTAAAATCTTTCACAGAAATAATATTTCTTCTAGGATAGAATTCTCCAAGTTTCCAACACCAACCAGAATGGCGATAGTGACATCGCCAGCTCAGTGGCTCTCAGCTGGGTTCCACTACCTCTTCTCTGCGATCTTAAAGTATACTCGATTGCAGACATCAGCAACTGTCACGCCAGAACATTTTGGTGAACTTGTCAATAAATATAAGGTAATAAAAATAAATTATTATGTAATTTAGACTGCCTCATTGGCCGAGTGGTCGCAAGTGCAACTGCCGGGCAAGGGTTCTTGGGTTCGATTCCCGGGTCGGACTCTTCGACCGTGCCCTTGTCATACAATTTTATCGCATTAAGGTACCACTAAGTACCTTATTTGATTGCACTGTATTGATTGCATTGAAATTATGGTACATACACCCCATTTAAGAGGTACGATTTTGTATTGTTAAAGTGAGTTGAGTAAAATGAGAGACCATGAAATAAACATCCATAAATATAATAATAAAACCTATTCTTTGGTTATCCTACAGCCCACTTACATTCTCATCAGTCCTACACTTATGACGACAATGATGTCAAAAGCGAAATGTGACTTCAACTGCTTTGAAAACATACATTTTGGTGGCAGTGCTGTTACGCAGGAGCTCCTAGCAGAAGTAAAGGCAAGTATATATTCTTCTATTTAACTCGTCGAGTACCGGTTTTATAGACACAATTAAAGAACAATAGGTCGCGGTCACCGGTGACCGCTTGGTGTTTGACAGATTAAATAAATCAGATCCCAAGCTAATAAAAAACTAGCCAAGCCTCGATGGAGCTGCTGGGTTTATCTACAAAAAGGATCTTCGAATATCCTAGTTTTTATAGTTTTCCCATTATGCGGCCATAAAACCCTAACTCTGTACTAAATTTCAGCTCTCTGAGGTTATGAGCAGTATTAATTCTATTTTGATGAGCATGAGTGAGTGAGTGAGTGAGTGTCATAAATGCCAAACTGCACTTGACTGCACGGTTGGTGCGCTGGCTGGGCAACCGGCTGCCGTGCAACGTGTCGCGGGTTCGATTCCCGCACGGGACAACACTTTGTGTGATCCACATATTGTTGTTTCGGGTCTGGGTGTCATTGTGTATGTGAACTTGTATGTTTGTAAACGCACCTACGACACAGGAGAAAATCCTAGTGTGGGGCAACGTTTCTTTTAAAAAAAAAAACTTTGATTTCGCTTAACTTCGGAACTAAATGACCTGTAGACTTGAAATTTTGGATTTTAAGTATGTGATTATAGCTTACTAGATGACGAAAATTTTTCGTTCTGGTCTTATCCAGAGGTTCTCAAATAGGGGCCGGAAAATGCGGCGAAATGGTTCCAGTAAAGCTTCGCGCTCGACTTGGTGGGGGCACTGCCGTGTCCCCACATACAGGGAATGCTAGTGTGGGGCTCAAAGACCCTATTCCTTTCTGCTTGACTTTGACTTTAGTGAATTCCATGAAGAAAAAAACTTAAAAGAAAAAGGTTCCTCGACATGATCTCAGAAAGTACTAGATCAACGAACATTTTTACTATATTCTCAACACATCAAACCAAATGGAGGTCGCCTGTGAAAGAAATTAGCGGAGGATTTGCCTGTAACAGATTTTTGTTGGCAATCAAAACCTTAACCTTCAATTGATCCAACATTGACTGTGCAATCCGTACTATCTTTGCAGAAATTAACAAAAGCAGAGCCATACATTTTGTATGGAATGAGTGAAGTGAGTGGTCCAGCTGTGCAGCAGGATGAGTCAACACCGCCAGGGTCTTATGGGAGACCAATTGGAGGGTTGGAATTAAAAGTAAGTTAACTGTCAAATACCGCGAGGACACCGGTGCCCACACACCTATTGTTCTTTAATTGTGTCTATAATGACGATACCAAAGAGCAAGTAACTTGAGTAGCTCATTGATTGGTCTGCTCAAGTAGAAGTAAAATAGTATTCGGGTAGAAGTTGTCAGTAGTGATGGGTCTAAGGATTGTATTTTAATAAAACAAATAAGTATTTGCAAACAGAAAGTTGATAGATGTTGCTCAGTAGGGCTAATGCCGATTCGATTCGAAGAAGGAGTGGAAACGGGGTGGTATTGTCAATAAGAGTCTGACACTTCTTCTCGCCTCACCCAAGGCGGTAGGGATCATTGGATGATCTTTCCCCTTAAAAATGGAGAAACATTTAATTGTGTTTTACTATATTATTTTATGAGAATTAGATTAAAAAGCACTTTAGAATAACATTCTCATTTTGGTCTATTTCAGTTAGTGGATCCAAAAACAAATGAAATCATCACTGAACCTCATGTTCCTGGAGAATTATGGTTCAGAGGTCCGAGTGTATTCAAAGTAAGTGACATAAATCTACGCTAATGGGGTAGATGACCAATTTTTATTTTACTGTCCGTCTATTAGATTACTTTAAAACATTAGACACGTGTTTTTTTTCTTACAAAAACAAATACTTTCGACGATATATTGATTTTAAATATATCGTGACGTCACTTCTAGGGACGTTTAAACGTAGAAATGACGTTTTAGCCCACTCCTAATCTTTTATCTAAGTACCTAATGTACTTATTCGTAAAAAATACCTGTCTAATAGTTTTAATTTTAAGTTCTAATTTGTCATTATCTAACTAACGGACTAATTATTTGTTTTTATTTTCATATCCCATCATCATCGACACTAGCAGTTAAAAATTTCACTTCACTCCAGCTTTGCTAAATGGATCTGTTACCAATTTCACAGGGTTACTACAACAACGAGAGGATGACAAAAGAGACGCTGACAGAAGATGGTTGGCTGAAATCTGGGGACATTTTGTACAGAGATGAAGCATGGAACTTATTCTTTGTAGAACGATACAAGCTACTGTTGAAGTATAGAAACCATCAGGTTGGTGTTTTTATAATAACTATAGTAAAACATGCTAAATTAATTAAAATCGCGGGTTACTCACATGAATATTCTGAGAAAAGCTCTGCTAGTTTCGAACCACAGAGGGGTTCTTCCTCATGAGCCGCGTGTGCGGTCGCGGCAACGTCGCGCATCTCACTGGCTGGCGTTGGCTTTGAGAGCTCTCAGTATATTCACGTGAGTAACCCCCGATATTAGTCCATCAGGTTGGTATTTAAAGGGATACAGCGGGTCAAAATGTACCTGCATTACTTTCACTAATAGTCATAAGGGAATATACAAAACTCGATGTATTTTGAAGTATAAATTATTCTACGTCGGACAGCCTCGTTGGGTGAGTAGTCGCGAGTATGACTGTTTGGTAAGGGGTCTCGGGTTCGATTTCTGGATCGGGCAAAGTATTACTGGGTTTTCAAACAATGTCTCAGTACCTACTATCACGGAGTCTGGAATTGTGCCCGGTATATAGCAATAGGCTCACCCCCTATTACATGGGACTCATAACACAAATAGTGAAAAGTGGGTGTTACATTTGCACAGTAGCATTAAGTGACGTCATGTACATACTACCTACCCCATCAGGGATAAAAGGCGTGATGTTATATTCTGTTATTCTACGTCGGACGTCATAGGAAATGGACTAATCTATCGGCTATTTGATCCATCGATGAACTACAAATCGTTGTTTTAATCTTCTTTTTACTTTTTCAAAGGTATCTCCATCTGAAGTGGAATCAGTAATAATGAAGCATCCTGGAGTACTCCAAGTAGCAGTGACAGGTATACCAGACAGGGAGTGCGGGGACCTGGTGGTGGCGTGTGTTGTACCCAAGCCTGGCTGCAGCCCCACAGCGCAGGAGATCAAAAACCTGGTCAAAGGTATAATAGTCTTCAATAAATCTTTAATGTAATGTATTATACGAACCTTGTGGAATCTAGAACAAACCGTGCGTTTATGCGCTTTTGCCATACCTATTATTGGAAGAAAGTACAACACCTCACACATAGGACCCATTTAGTTTTTAGTCTCCGTGGTGGTTGGCGACTGGGCTTCACCCAGTTGTACAGTCTCTTTTTGTGTCTTTAGGCTTAATTCATTCTGTCTCCTGCAGTAATTCAGGGGTAGGCAAAGGTTGCATATTACGGCACTTAATGCCACTGTAGAATGTAACACCCACTTTTATGATATCAGCCCAATGTAATCGGGGCACAATTTCAGACTCCGTGCTACCTCTGAGAGTTTTTAAAAACCCGGTAATACTTGTCCAACCAGGAAATCGAACCAGAGACCCCTGGCCCGGCAGTCGCACTTGCGACCACTCGGCTAACGAGACTGTTAATCTATTAATTCCTAATATTATAAATGGGCAAAGTATTACTGGGTTTTTCAAAAATGTCAGTAGTAGCACGGAGTCTGGAAATGTGCCCGGTATATGGCAATAGGCTCACCCCCTATTACATGGGACTTATAACATAAATAGTGAAAAGTGGGTGTTACATTGTAGTGGCATTAAGTGCCGAAATGTGCACCTCTGCCTACCCCTTCGGGGATAAAAAGGCGTGATGTTTTTTTACTATGTAGATTAACTACTCCTGATACTGGCTATTGTCAATATTGAGTCTATTCAATAACAACGTAAAAAATGTTGTTTTGTTATGGAAACAAGTCAGTGAAGGTTAATCTATTCATAATCTATTGTGTTCTATTAATGTACCTACTACTCTGTGTCTTATCATTTAGATGGTGATACGGTGATGTTCTAGGTCTAAGATCCGATATAACATCGACCTTCACCGAGCTGTTTCATGAATAAAAACCATAAACATTGGTTGCCTGTAAAGTCGGTATACGGGCGAAAGTTTTACGTGACAACGACTTTGAGTGGTAATTTATGTCTGTCTCTCTCGCTCTTAGGCGGGCTAACCATGCCCGAGTGGAAGGGACGCGTGCCTCTCACTCGCTCTCATTGTGAGCGCATAACGTGAGCGGAGCGTAACGCAGTTTCTTGAAGTGTCACCCGGCAAACCAATTTATAAGACGTTGTCACGTCAAAACTACTCATAAATAGATAACTTAGTTTATGAAACATTATAGGTAGAAAAATCGGTTACTTGGTATTCTTAATCATGCTATAATTTATATAAAAACCAGCTTCTGCCCGCGACTTCGTACGCGCAATCCCGTCTTCTCCCGTTCCCTTAGGATTTCTCTTCTGCTAGATAATAGAACAAAAAAAATAGTGAAATCGGTCCAGCTATTCACGCTTGATGCCATGACCAAGGGAAAAATGGATTCATTTTTATGTGTATATAGATTATTTTTATAACACTTCATCAGTTCTGGAGACCAAATGAAACTATAACATGCTGCGTTAGAGGAGTTAACTGTAATTTTATTTCCAGATTCGCTGACTGACTCGAAACAACTGAGAGGAGGTGTGATCTTCTTGAAGGAACTGCCAACGACCAGCACGTCGAAAATCAATAGACAGAAACTAAAAGAGATGGTGCTAGACTTACCTAGAGAATAAGATTAAGCAATAAAGTTAATAAAAAAAGAAACTACGCTTGCTTTCTCTCTAACATACATCAACATCCTACAAATGTCCACTGCTGAGCAAAACCACTCACACGAAGAAGGTTTGAGCATTAATTTGCTCTTGCTTAATACGGGTTGGCGATAAAAAACTTATAGGTAATTAGAAATTATAAGCCCAGGTTCCCTCACGATGTTTTCCTTCACCGTTTGTCAGTGGTCTGAATAATCTTAGAAAGTATATACATATAACTCGTAACAAGTCACATTGGTACTTGCCGTTTATAGGTTTCGGCCCTAATGAATGAGAAGCGGGCTTCTTAAACCTCCGGGCCACCACGCCGACTACACAGATACGAGAAACACGACCGACACGACCGATACGACAGACTCGACCACCACAACCGACACGACCGAATACCGATACGACAGACTTAACCAACATGACAGATACGACAAACACGACCGACACGACAAATACGACCGACACGACAGATACGACAGACACGACAGATACGAGCGACACGACAGATACGAGCGACACGACAGATACGAGCGACACGACAGATACGACCGACACGACAGACACGACAGATACGACAGACACGACAGATACGAGCGACACGACAGACACGACCGACACGACAGACACGACCGATACGACAGATACGAACGACACGACAGATACGAGCGACACGACCGACACGACTGACACGTCAGATACTAACGGCACGACAGATACAACCGACACGACAGATAGGAGCGATACGACAGACACGACCGACACGACAGATACGACCGACATGACATATACGACCGACACGACAGATAGGAGCGACACGACAGACACGACCGACACGACAGATACGACCGACACGACAGACACGACCGACACGACAGATACGACCGACACGACAGATACGACCGACACGACAGATACGACCGACACGACAGATACGACCGACACGACAGAAACGACCGACATGACAGATACGACCGACACGACAGATACGACTGACACGTCAGATACTAACGACACGACAAATACGAGCGACACGACAGATACGACCGACACGACAGATATGACCGACACGACAGATACGTGCGACACGACAGATACGACCGACACGACAAATACGATCGATGCGACAGGCATGACCGATACGACCGATACGACAAATACGACCAACATGACAAACACGACCGACACGACTGACACGACAGATATGACAGATACGACCGACACGACAGATACGATACAGATACTTTATAATATTGTTGTAGAAATCATACACAATTGATGTGTAAACGATTTCTAGGGCAAGATGAATATTAATTATTTAATTAATTTGTACTTGAATACCTAATTAATTATTGTGTTACTTCTACGTAAACTTGAAGTTATATTTATTTATTATTGTACCTAGCCTTTGCCAGCGGCTTGGTCCGTGTTCCCGTGGGTAAAAAGTAGCCTAAAATATTTTTCCAGATCACAATCTGTACCTACCCCTGTTCCAAATTTCATATCGACCAAAGGGTCCCTTATAGGGATAACGAATAGGGGATTACGATTAATTTGAGGACAGTTAAGGAACTGTCCTCAAATTCGTAATCCCCAAATGGCCGGTAACGCACTTGTAACGCCTCTGGTATTTCAGGTGTTTATGGGCGGCGCTGATTGCTTACCATCAGGTGATAAATATTTTTTTCTTTATATTTCTTAGGATTTTTTTTACATTTGATGGGCCGATGTTTGTCCACTATCTCGCTTAGTGGTAAGCGATGATGTACCAAAGCATAGGATTATACATCATATCAATCTTAATTTGTTATACCTACCTAATAAAAAATGTTGGGTATTATCTACTATTTTAATGCGATGATGGTTGAGTAATTATTAGCTACCTAGGTAGCTAAATATATAATGTATAATCTTAATACTAGTATTATGTTAAATTTGAATAGTTTTAATTCCTTGGAGGTTCGAACTGGTCCATGAAACACTATCGATTTGTAAAGATAAAATTAAAAAATAAAGTACTTTTTTTTAATAACTCGAATCAATTCTCGCATGAGTGAATGAATAATGCGAACCGTTAGTACAGTTATGTAGGTCCTAAGCCCGTAAAAGTATGAAGGAAAATTTGGAATCAATTTATTTGTTTACCTACGCAAACATCAGTTGATCGAGTCAATAACCTTATGCTCGATCGGGCCGTGTAGGTACCTTTACTGCCCGATACGCAACGACCGACGACAACGTAGGTAACTACTCGTGGCGCAACTTTTGGTTTCATACATTTTGCGAGTATAATCTTATCATTTGCTAATTTGTTCATTTTTTATGTTACACCGCAGTGCAAGCTTGTAATGAGTAGTAAGTATTCTGTTAGTTAAACCACAGGTCCATGGGATTAAAACGACTAAAATTTAAGGGTGTATGAATAGATATATTCGTAACTAAACTTTTGTGTGTACCTAACATAAGGTAGATATAATATGTACGTACTGAACTACTTGTAGGTTGTATTGTATATAGTTATTCTGGGAACATTATAAGTCGAAGGTATTATGTATGAGCACCTACCTATTTATATTTTTGTCATTAATGATTATGATCTACCGGAGATAAACACGTCATGAAATTTTAAACACACTTGAGTTAGACGAAAACAGGGACAGGAAAACGAATCGTATCCAGTCTCTGACCAAACCTATATTCGGTTAATAAAACTTCTAAAACGAGATGTATACCATATTTTTAATTAGTTTCTTCACTTCTATACTTATAAAATTGTAACAATACGGTAATCATACAATTCTATGTAATAAACATAAAATATAAACGTTTACTACCAGAAAGTATTTGTCAATGAATCGGAAATCGACGGAAAATATGGTTAAGTTGAAACGTGAATTATAAAGAATCCATTATAGTTAGCATAGCTCGGATACGGGCCTATTAATGTAAGGAAAGATTTAAAAATAAGAAACTAATCACAAAACATCATGCGTTACAGAAAATTGACGTCATTCATAAATCCTAAAATTCCTTTTATTTATTTGTTTACACTTCTTGCACAATGGGTATACAATGGCGGACTTAATGCCTAGTGGCATTCCCTAACAGTCAACCTTTTTTTAAGGGGGGAAAATCATCGAATGACTGCTCCCGCCTGGGTGAGGCGGAAGGGAGTGTCAGACTCTTACTGACTAAAAACCACCCCGTTCCTTCTCCTGCACGTCGAGCCGGAGCCCCGGTTATCCGTTAGGTTCTCCGCGACAACAGTCAACCTTAGGGTGATGCAGAGAGACACACTAATAGGTGTAAAAGTTTAACATTAACATAATTTTTACCAACCATATGCCCATGTTCAGTATTTGATACGTTGGTGTGTTGTAGGGCTCCTCATGCCGTCCGAAATTAACTTATCAATAAATCTATGCAAAACATGGAATTAGTGCAAGCTTAAAAAAATATGAGGCCAGGTCCTAAGTCACTCGAGTGACCACTGCAAAAATTGAGATGACGTTTTCCCTGAATTATATTTTTTTCATATTCACATTGTGTTTATGTGTGGGAGAGCCATGCTTCGGCACGAATGGGCCGGCTCGACCGGAGTGATACCACGGGCTCACAGAAAACCGACGTGAAGCAACGCTTGCGTTGTGTTTCGTCGTGTCAGTGAGGTTACCGGAGGCCCAATTACCCTCCCCTTCCCCAATCTCCCCAATTCCTGAAACTCTTAATTCCCAAAAGGCCGATAACGCACTTGTAAACGCCTTTGGTGTTCCAGGTGTCTATGGGTGACGCCGATTGCTTACCATCAGGTGATCCGGCTGCTCGTTTAAGAGTTTATGCATTAAAAAAAAAATAGTTTGGTTCCGCAAAAATGGTCGGATTGAGGAGGCCGGTCGGTAACCAGTGCCTTGGCATTAATAAGTTATTCATGGTTGTTCCATATGATCGGTAGCAGATAATATGATGCGCAAATATCGCCCATATAGTGAGTACGACCGGTGCGTAGCGGTTGTGTGAATCGCAAACTGAGTGGAAAATAATTAACAATTTGTTCTCGAAATATTGTGAGATCTTGCTTCATATTGTGTCATATTATTATTTGATTTATTTTCTCCGTTTTGTTGTACGCATGTAAGTACGAAGTACGAAGTATTTTTGGAACATTTTATTCATTACTTCAGTTATCCTATTCTTTTTATAAACGTCAGTTGATTTAAAATATGCAAAATGTTTTATTATTAATATTCTCTACATTTTTTGAAATTCTGTAAAACTACATTTAATAAAAAAACAGAAAAAAAATTCTCAAAACATAAAAATAGGAGCCGAACAGTATAATATACAATAATAATAATACATAATATTTAATGAACATTCTTGCTCTCGGCCGGCCGGTTTTAATGTATAATATTATAATAATAATATTATAAAAAAAATATTTAGATTTAGCTCACGAGGTATGGAGTGTGGATTCGGCTATCATTGTGCCGATAGTCGTGTCGGCTAATGGGTTAATCCCTAAAAGCCTCGACATCCATCTCAGGAGGCTGACGTTAGGTAGATGTATCAAGGGCCTGATACAGTAGACAGTTCTCTTAAACACGGCACGTATCGTGAAGTTTCTGTCTTTGGAGCCCTAACCACCGGTAGCTTAGACCATGCTCATATTTTTATATTTTTAAATAATATTTTTTTTTACTTTGTGTGCAAGTACCTAGTATTTAGAAATATAATTTATAGACAATTTTAAATAAATGTATGGATATTATTATTATTAAAAAAATACTACAATATTAGTCTAATTTCCAACTAGTCTATTAAATTTAAAATTACTTTAATATGATAAAATATCCTGACTCCTCAGGTTCTCCTGGGTTGCCTTGATTCATCAAAATACGCCTTATCACCCTTAACTGACGAGTCAATGTCCTGTCTGCAAACACAATAATAAATAAGTATTCAAGTACTATAAAAATACAATAAAATAGTTTATTAATAAAATATTTTTTTACAAGGCATAATGTATTTTTAACCTGTGTGTATAAAGGTAGAAAATAAATACGATGAGCGTTGTATTTGAATAAGTAATCTAAATAAATATTAATGCATGGAGATCATTGTATTGTGTTGACTATCTTGTGAAATATATCAGTAAATAATAGTAAGCCAGGTGAGGGTTACTCTTATCTGGTATGTATGTACTATATTGTATTATGTAGATCACTACGATAGTATGAAACAAAGTCGCTATCCGCCGTCTGTCTGTCCCTATGTATGCTTAGATCTTTAAAACTACGCAACGGATTTTGATGCGGTATTTTAATACATAGAGTGATTCTTAAGGAAGGTTTATATGTATAATAAATGTATATTGCAACCGTGCGAAGCTGGGGCGGGTCGCTAGTACCTATACTATAATCGTTTCTGTTTTACAAACTACACTAATTTGGTACGTAAACCAGTATTTAGTTAGTAGGCCCCAACTCTATATTGTTATAGCTGTGCCCGTGACTTCGTTCGCATGGAAGAGTGATTCAGAGTGATTCCTCTCCCGTAGGAGATTGCATGATAATATGTAGCCTATTATGTTGACCCGACTTATCAGTACTATTCATACAAAATTTGAGTTAAATCCGTGCAGCACTTTATGAGTTCATTCCGGACATACATACTTACAGACCAACAGATAAAAATTCTAAAACCATATTTTTGGCGTCAGTATCGATTGTAGATCACGCTCAAAGCATTATTTTAAAAACATAATTAATGTACAGTTTTCACTTCCCTACGATTTTATGGTATGTATAGATTAAGGTATTTCTGTATTTCTGTTTTTAATTTATACAATAGTCTTACTTTCCTATCAATCATTTATAATTAGCATTTAGAAAGAAATAAAAAACATTTATTCAACACCTGTCAGGATACAGCACAAATAAAATATAAAAAGACAATAAAAGATAGTGTAATGTAATTATTGTGTAATGTGTTTATTCGGCTATTGATGATGATGACTATCATATTCACACACATAGGCAAAGCCAGTAAAGAATAATAAATATGGTTTCAGTAACTACCAATCATGGCTACTAGACCGTACAACGCAGTGCAGTGGTACATGGAAGAGGTGGGAGCTCGCGTGGTGGCGAAGACCGGGATCCCTTCAGACAGACATCACGTAGGCAAGCTAATGCTGCAAAGCCTGCAAGAGGATCCTGATTTTATACTGCAGGTGAAATTGAAGTTACATTCTCCAACTGTAGAGTCGTTTTTTCTTTGATCACTTTTGGTTTACTTACGTCCTTTATATATTACTAAGGGTTTATAGGCAAGTAACTGTTTCATATCGCAAAATCAATATGTATGTAAGGGTTTGCCGTTAGCTTGCTAGCATTTGCATTATCCATGATGAATCGTGACTTAATTCAAACATCAATGGCTACTATAACGGAAACCAGAACATGACAGAACTCTTCAAGCAGTTCAGTGAGAGCAGTAGAAAAAATTTTGGCTAATCTGAATGATCATAACAATTAGCGCTAAAGTCAATAATCAAGATTAAAATCTAATCATAAAGAAGAAAGTAAATGAAGAAGAAAATAAGCATGTAGCAACTTCTACTAAACCTGCAGTTAATTTCAATCACCAGATCAATGGAGCTACCGGAGAATCAGAAACCTTCAGTTCAGCTTTAGACAGGAGCATCCGATGTGCTGTCTCCCTCACCAACATGGGGCTGAAGAAAGGCGACGTCATGGTGCTGATGGGACCAAATCACCTGGACTTCTGTATACCCCATAACGCGGCATTTTATCTTGGAATTATGGTGGCGTCGATTGACGCTACTTTGGGAGTTAGTAAGTAAATTTATGATTATATGTAATGTATGTAATGTGAACGTTTGGTATCTCGATGCGTATCACGTCTCAGTTATAGTAAAGTGTTCAGCAAATATTGCATTTGTATGCAACTACTGCAAATACTGCAATTGTCCCAGTTAAGTAAGGTAGGTATCGTGAAAGGTGACTAATGTGGATCTATGGAACTGTTCATAGACTTTAACATTTTCTTATTATAATAGGGTAGATGCATACATACATAACATCACGCCTTTTATCCCCAAAGGGGTAGGCAGAGGTGTATATTACGGCACTTAATGCCACTGTACAATGTAACACCCACTTTTCACTATTTATGTTATGAGTCCCATGTAATCCCTATTATCCACTATATTAATAATAGGCTCACCAGGGGGTGAGCCTATTGCCATATACCGGGCACAATTCCAGACTCCGTGCTACTACTGAGATTTTTTGAAAAAAACCAGTAATATTTTTGCCCGATCCGGGAATCGAACCCGAGACCCCTTGCCCGGCAGTCGCAATTGCGACCACTCGGCCAACGAGGCAGTCTGGGTAGTAGGGTAGATGCCTAATTTTTATAATGTCCGTCTGGTAGATTATTTTAAATCATTAGACACGTATTATTTTATTTTCTTACTGAAACGAATACTTTCGACGATATATTGATTTGAAATGACGCGTGACGTCACTTCTATGCACATTTTATACGTAGAAATGACGTTTTAGCCCCCACTCCTAAACTTTGATTCGTTTTATCTAAGTATTGTTTTATTATACGACAAAATAAAAAATACGTGTCTAATATTTTTTCAATACCTAACTTACGGACTAATTATATTTTTAATTTTCATACCCAAGCAAATTAAAAATTAAAAATAAAAATAAAAATTAATTGATACAATTCGGATGAATTGTATCAATTATGTTAGAAAAATAGCCGAACATACCATTTGGCCGAATTTCTTCTAGTCCTTTGTATTGAAAATTTCCTAACCTCGGAACTGTTTGTCCGGGTCACATAGCTTTAGTAATACCTAAATTATTATTGTCATAATAATAAGTTGTGAGTTCACGAAAGTTAAGCTCAAGCCAAAATCAGCTTACAGAGATTGAAATAAATATATATATTGTCCTAAAATAGAATGAATTTCTTTTTCAGATGAATTAAGAGATCTGTTCCATAACAACAAACCAAACATAATTTTTGGTCAAAGTGAAAAGATGAAGGACATTGAAAGAGCATTGACCTTATCTGAAGTGGATGCTAAAGTGGTAACCTTTGACAAAGATGGTAGCCATATTTCACTAGCACAACTCCTGGAGGTTAAAGACAAAGAAGCGATAAAGAACTTTAAGTAAGTGTTTTAAGAATTGATTTGGTTTGATGATGCTCTAAAATACTGGGTAGTTATCATAACATAACATTACGGCACGTAATGCCACTGTACAATGTAACACCCACTTCATTATTTCTGTTATGAGTCCCATGTAATAGGGGGTGAGCCTAAGCCTGAGCACAATTCGAGACTCCGTGCTACTACTGAGATTTTTTTTACAAAACCAGTAACCAGTTATTGCCTTGCCCAACCCAGGAATCGAACCCGAGACCCCAGCAGTCGTATTTGCGACCACTCGGCCAACAAGGCAGTTAGTAGTTATCAGTTTTTCTATTTCGAAATAAGCTGTAACTAATTATATTATACAATTATATCCAGTATTCACTTCTTTGTTTCTTTCTCTTAAGGAATCATCTTAATTCAATTCTTCAACTATCTTAATGTTAAACCCTTAATCAAATTTACCTATTTACAGACCAACAGACTTCGATCCAGAGCATACAGTGGGATATTTAACTTCAACCAGTGGAACTACAGGCGTGCCAAAGACAGCTATGTTGACACACAAGAACTTAAGTATAGGAATGCCTTATATCTGGTAATTTGTTACTTAGTATACATCAAATTCATCATCATCACCTTTATCAACATAATTTTTATCTGGAAAACGTTCCACTGATTATGAAAGTTATTTTCCTTGACTTACGCTAACCTGTAATTCATTGATTATATGGTTCCACCTCTAACCCCATTTTTTTCTCTTGAAGGGCAAACTTCACCAATTTCCCGACACCAACAAATCTGGTATTCATGGCGTCTCCAGCTCAGTGGCTGTCAGCTGGGATCCACTACGTCTTCTCATCAGTCTTCAAGTATACTCGACTACAGTCATCATCACCTATCACGCCGGAGCATTTTGCTGAACTTGTCAATGCATATAAGGTAGACTTCAAAGAATACAACAAAACACTTTTGATAGAGTTAAATCATTACGTGCTAGATTACCGGTTTTTTGTTATTGTTTTGTTAGTGATGACCGGTTGGTAATAAATATGCAATGCTCAAACCATATAGGCTTCTAATGATGATGAAATATGCAATTATATTGCCTCGTTGGCGGAGTGGTTGCAAGTGTGACTGCCGGGCAAGGGGTCTCGGGTTCGATTCCCGGGTCGGGCAAAGTATTACTGGGTTTTCTTTAAATTCTCAGTAGTTGCACAGAGTCTGGAATTGTGCCCGGTAGGTATATGGAAATAGGCTTACCCCCTAATTACATGGGACTCATAACATAAATAATGAAGAGTGGGTGTTACATTGTAGAGGTACAGTGGCTATAATGTGCACCTCTGCCTACCCCTGCGAGGATAAAAGGCATGATGTTATGATGACGAGGTCCTAAATTTAATACCAAAATTGTTGAATTAGATAAATTCCACTCTGACACGGAATCAGGATTTTGTGAACTAACAGTTGATGTTTCAACTTCGGAGTATTTCTTCGTCTCATATCAGTATTGATGATCTTTTACAGCCTTCCTACTTTGCTACAAGTCCTAACATGATGGTGACGATGATGGCAAATGCTAAATGTGACTTCACCTGCTTCGAGTATGTAGGATTGGGCGGCAGCGCTGTAACACAAGATGTTATTGATGAAGTAAAGGTAGGACAGAAACCAATCAATATAGATGAAAAATGAGATTAAACATTGGATCATCAAGACAAAGTTAAAAGTGGACCTGTATTAATGCAAAATTAGCTAATGTAATAGGGATGATGACAGGGTATGAAAATTAAAAATCTAATTAGTCCGTAAGTTAGGTAATGAAAAAATGTTACACAAGTATTTTTTTTAATTTTGTCGTATAATAAAATAATACTTAGATAAACCGAATCAAAGTTTAGGAGTGGGGGCTAAAACGTCATTTCTACGTATAAAATGTACATAGAAGTGACGTCACGCGACATTTCAAATCAATATATTATCGTTGAAAGTATTCGTTTCTGTAAGAAAATAAGTGTGTCTAATGTTTTAAAATCATCTACCAGACGGGCATTAAAATAAAAATTAGGCATCTACCCTATTGTAAATTACAAGCCGGTTGCTTTTACAATTACAATTTGACCGGCTTCACACTTGGGAACTTCATACTATTGACGTGCATGTCCATAAGCGGCACTGATTGCTTGCCACCATGTGAACAGTCTGCTCTTTTGCATTTCATAAAAAACGTATTTTTTAAAAACTATTATCTGACGTTAAGCCTAAATATTTATGTATAAAATTAAGTATAGATAAATCTAGGCAATCATCTTTCAGAAAAAAGCTCAAACAGACGAAGTATACATCCTATATGGAATGAGTGAAGCAAGTGGGGTCACAGTGCAGCATGACATGTATTCTGTGCCCGGATCTTACGGGAGGCCAATTTATGGGATACAGGCGAAAGTAAGTACCTAGACTAAACAAGGACTCCATCAGACCACCATAGATATAGCTGTTCGCTGCGCCCAGAGTTAGCTGAAACCCGACCCGTACCCGTGGGCGCTTACTGCCTCATTGGCCGAGTGGTCGCAAGTGCGACTGCCGTGCAAGGGGTCTCGGGTTCGATTCCCGGGTCGGACATAGTATTACTGGGTTTGTAAAAACCTCAGAGTAGCACGGAGTCTGGAAATGTGCCCGGTATATGGCAATAGGCTCACCCCCTATTACATGGGACTCATAACATAAATAGTGAAAAGTGGGCGTTACATTGTACCGTGGCATTAAGTGCCGTAATATGCACCTCTGCCTACCCCTTCGGGGTTAAAGGTGTGATGGTATGTTAATGTTATTTTAGAAAAGGGGTTGCATCGAGGTTTTTAGAAATTGATGTATGTACTTGTATACTCTGGATTTGTATGTAATATAGTAATTTCAATTCTGTTTTCGTTTTCAGCTAGTGGATCCAAATACCAATAAAGTCATCACAGAGCCAAATGTTCCTGGAGAAGTATGGTTTAAAGGTCCCAGTGTTTTTAAAGTAAGTTTTTAGTTGTTATCTATACTAATATTATAAGGCTGAAGAGTTTGTTTTTTTGTTTGTTTGTTTAAACGCGCTAATCTCCAAAACTACTGGTCCGATTTGAAAAATTGTTTCTGTGTTGGATAGTCCATTTATCGAGGAAGGTTATAAGTTATAAAATATCACGCTACGATTAATAGGCGCCAAGCAGAGCGAGTGAAACCGCGAGGAAGTAGCTAGACTTCTATAACCAAGAGTCTTGAGAATCATGTATTCCCCAAATCTACAGAGATAAAAAAACGGGCCGTATACACAGGCATACGGCCCGTTTTTACAAACCTCTCCTAAATTTTAAGGAACCTCTAATCTAAGTAGTACAATACAGTAACAGTACACACTTAACAGTATAGGTCAGGGGTTTATTTAAGTGCGACGTCACAGCAACCTACTTTGATTTAAGACGTGGTTTAGGGGCGGTTGGTAAAAACAGCCAAAAGTGTATGGTGCATGGGTATCTTTGTCCCCAATATAAGAAATTTCATAAATGACTAACAATTTATGTAACGCACTTCTAGGGATACTACAACAACCCTGAAGTCACGAAGGAGGCTATCACAGAAGACGGCTGGCTCAAATCTGGTGACATTTTCTACAGAGACCAGCACTGGAACCTATTCTTCGTAGAACGATACAAGTTGCTTTTGAAATATAGAAATCATCAGGTCAGTGTGACGAGAGCTAGTGTGTACGCACCTTTGGTTACCTTTTCCAGGACCATAGTTCACCATAACTGTCTAATATTTATTCAGGTGTCCCCTGTGGAAATTGAAACGGTGATCATGAAGCACTCTGGAGTATTGCACGCGGCAGTGACAGGTATACCGGACAGGGAGTGTGGGGACCTGGTAGTGGCGTGTGTTGTACCCAAGCCTGGCTGTAGCCCTACAGCGGAGGAGATCAAGGACCTGGTCAAAGGTAGATTAGTAACATAACATACAATGACATCACACCTTTTATGGCCAAAGAGGTAGGCAAAGGTGCATATTACGGCACTTAATGCCACTGCACTATGTAACATCCACTTTTCTGTTATGATCTCTATGTAATAGGGGGTTGGCTTATTGCCATACGGTATATTATAGCACTCAGCCAACGAGCCAGCAGATAGATAAGTGTTTCATTAATGTACTAAAGAGTTATAGGCTAGAGTCTAAAACTGATATTTTGTTTCCAGAATCGCTGACTGACTCCAAGCAGCTGAGAGGAGGTGTGATCTTCTTGAAAGAACTGCCAACGACCAGCACGTCTAAAATCAACAGGCAGAAACTAAAGGAACTGGTACTAAGCTTGCCAAGGCAATAAATAAACAGAAATCCATAAATATATGTCTATTATTCTCCCTATCTCTCACCCTCTATTATTCACACTATCAACATCAATTCACTACTGAATAATAGATAGATAGATAGATTCATTTATTTCATACTGAAATATGGTGTTTTACATATTTTATAGCATAATAAAACAAAAAATAGACTATAATGTTAATAAAATATGGTTTATCAAAAATTGAAAAAGAGGAAAAAATGAAACAGTTAGGTATTAAATTAAAAATGTCAAAAATGTAAATGTTACATGTCAATAACTGAATTATAATTTTTAATATAGTAAATTTCAAATGTCATTAAAGAAATATACAATGTCAACAACTTAAAAAACACACACAAATTCATAAGTCAAACTTAATAATATGTCAAAAACATTAAAAACATAATTAATGTTTCCTATTTTTTCCTGCATTCACTTTCAATTGTGGATCTCCTCTGTATAAGAGCTCATAAGCGACGCCACTGCCACACCACTATTCCGTTCGCCATTGCAGTGCTAGTAAACATCCTAATAAAAAAATCGCGATCCGTGTCTGTCATTGTCCAGATAAAAATGCACTTTTTTCACTTTGGCATATTGACCAAAATGAAACGTAGTGTTACATACTGGTCGTTATCATTATAATAATATAATATTTACTATCATTAATTTAGGATAGGGCAAACTGCAAGTGTAAATGATTGTCATTTTTTTATCTGTACCCGACCTTTCCTTCGTCGAGAAAAGGTCATTTCATACCTATTAGCACGGATCCGACACGGCTCCGGCACGGCTCCAACTCGGCTCCAGTAGGGCGTTTTTTGCTTTGGTAACAATACAATAAGGTTGTAAGAGTGCAAACGGCGCGCGGGCGGCGCTCGCAGATTTTTTATATTGACGTTATGAAATATATGTCATACGACATAAAATCTAAAGTTCATATTTAAACAACAATGACATTGTTAGGTTGAAACCGTCCCTGAGCCGTGCCTGTCAGGTGTGCGATAACTTTAATAAGAAACGAATGAGATAAAAAATAATTATAATATGTGATAAGACTTTCATAAACACACACAAAATGATACGTGCTCAGATACTATTGTATAAATAACACCCAAAAACATGGTGAGTAAGTAGTTAAACGCCAGTAGAACAAAAGAGGATAAACAAATTTATTTCAGAAACCGTAATAATTAAAAATGGCGGTTGATTCGGTGCACTGGTACATGGAGGAAGTGGGAGCTCGTGTTGTGGCGAAGACCGGGATCCCTTCAGACAGATATCATTTAGGAAAACTGATACTGCATAGCCTGCAAGACGATCCCAACTTTATTTTACAGGTAATTAAACACAACATTTCTAATCAAATGGTCATAATTTAACTATTGAGGACTAGTAAGTTAGGAGGATATTTCGTCGAAGGAATACGTGAATTTAAATGATATAAATCTAATAATGCCGTTGTCGATCTTTGGCACTCGATTCTATTAAATGGCAGGCTTTGCGCTTTGCAGCTGCACTAAATTTATCAACCAGGCAATGAAACTGAATAATGTTTAACACAAGTAGTTCTTTAAAGCCATTTAACATAACATCGCACCTATTATCCCTGAAGGGGTAGGTAAAGGTGCACATTACGGCTCTTAATGCCACTGTACAATGTAACACCCCTTTTTTACTATTTAACTTACGAGTCCCATGTAATAGGTGGTGAGCCTATTGCCATATACCGGGCATAATTCCAGACTCCGTGCTACTACTGAGAAATACTTTATAAAACCCAGTAATACTTTGCCCGGCCCGGAAATCGAACCGATACCCCTTGCCCTGCAGTCGCACTTGCGACCACTCGGCCAACGAGGCAGTCGTCGAAGTAAATACGTTTAATTTTAATCTATTCCAAAAATGGATTACAGATTGATGGAGCGACAAGAGAGTCTGAAACCTTCGGCTCAGCTTTAGACAGGAGCATCCGATGTGCTGTCTCCCTCACCAACATGGGAATACAGAAAGATGATGTTATGGTGCTGATGGGACCAAACCACTTGGACTTCTGTGTACCACATAATGCTGGGTTATATCTCGGAATCATGGTGGCATCAATCGATGTGACTTTGGGAGTTAGTAAGTATGTTTTTAAAAATAAATACGGTTCTTTTTTTCAAATTCAGTTCGGTAATTTCGAGGACAGATCTCTGATTTTTGCAAAAAATAACCAACAACTTTTTGTTTAGCAAAATTATTTGTTTAAAGTGTCGCTTTTAAATTATAGAGGACTTTCTTCTTTTGCATGTTCAATTACAATATGTACATACGCTAACTAAACAACATTAATTTCAGATGAATTAACAAAAGTATTTGAAACCAACCAACCGAAAATAATTTTCTGCCAAAGTGAAAAGACGGGTGACATAGAAGAAGCGCTAAGGATATCAAAGGTGGATGCTAAAGTTGTGACCTTCAATGAAGATAGTCACCATACCACACTTGCTCAACTCCTGAAGGTGGAAGACAAGAATGCATTGAAGAACTTTAAGTATGAATGAATACACTTAATCTTTAGTGAAGTGGTCTTTCGAATTATAGACCTTGGATATTTATCGGATCAACCCCTTCTTGAGTTTCAAACAAACAAACAAATATATTTATTTCCATTTTGTTCACATATACTTAATCTAAGCTTATTATTTAACTATTCTAGGTAGTCGTGGTGGCTCGGAGGTTTAAGACGCCTGCTTCTCATGCATGAGGGTGCGGGTTCGGAACCTACCAACTGCAAGTACCAATGTGACTTTTTCCGAGTTATATGTACTTTCTAAGATTATTTAGACACCACTGACAAACGGTGAAGGAAAAACATCGTGAGGAAACCTGAGCTTATAATTTCTAATTATAAGTTTGAAATCGCCAACCCGCATTGAGCAAGCGTGGTGATTAATGCTCTAACCTTCTCCGTGTGAGAAGAGGCTTTGCTCAGCAGTGGGCATTTATAGGCTGTTGATGATTCTAGGTAGGTTACAATACTATGCCTGTAAAAAATTACATTAGTTCTTTTATTTTATCCAGGCCTACAGATTTTGACGCAGATGAGACGATAGCCTATTTGACCTCAACTAGTGGTACGACAGGAGTTCCAAAAACAGCTATGCAGTCACACAAGAATCTTAGCATTGGAATCCGTTACCTATGGTACGTTGACAATGTTTAAACTTTCAAACACCGAGCGGTCACTGGTGACCGCAACCTATTGTTCTTTAATTGTGTCTATAAATACGGTACTCGACGAGTTAAACCTCATTTTTATCATCTGGGTATCAATTCTTCATGAAATTCTGTTGTTGGGTACAAAGTTATGATCAGCATGTTTTGGATAATTATCTTATTATTTTCCATCTTAGAGAGAGAAATAATTCTGCGTTATATTCATGTTCATTTAAAGATAAGTTTCTCTTTATTGACCCTTTCCTGAGTGTTTCTGTAACATTAATTTTTAATTAGCAGAAATTATTAAGTGGTTATTACAATTAGTAAATGTTAAAAACTTAACATTCACTTTTTGTGTCACATTTTTTGTACAACATTAACTTTAGGATTAATTCATTCTGCCTACTGCAGTAATTCACCGATAGAAGTGGAAACTATCGTATTTTTTTTTGCATCGCTTTTAATATAATCTGATTCACTTCGTTGCGGGAACCAAGACAGTTGTTCATGTTCCTGGGACGCGCCGGATTTCAATGTTCCGGTGTTTTCATGGTTTTATTTACTGTAGACCCTGGCTTACAGGATCCACATCGGTTTTGGGAGATAGTGGCAGGTTTGTACCATTTAAAAGAATGGTAAAAACTTCTTTTTCTTCAGGAACCAATTCTCCAAATTTCCAACACCAACGAGAATGGCGTTAATGACATCACCAGCTCAATGGTTGTCAGCTGGAATCCACTACCTCTTCTCTGCAATCTTGAAGTATACTCGATTGCAGACATCAGCCACTGTCACTCCAGAACATTTTGCTGAACTTGTCAACAAATATAAGGTATGTGTTACAAATTCGAGTATCTGTATTTATTGTTTAATTTCAAGATGTCATGTAACATTTACATTTTTCCTGTTTTATAGCCAACCTTCCAAATAATTAGCCCCAACTTGATGCTGACGATGATAACAAAGGCCAATTGTGATTTCACCTGCTTCGAGTTCATAATACTCGGAGGCAGCGCAGTAGCTCAAGATGTTGTTGATGAAGTTAAGGTATGAAAAATATACAAAAAGATTTATATGACTCTTGTACGTGGCTGCGATTAAATCAGTTCATTGAGTTTAATCTTCTGCAGCTTCAGCTCACTAATGCGGTGATTGTCTCACAACAAAAAATTGTATCTTCCAAAATTAAGTACCAACTAACACGTATATAGGCGTGCATTTGATTTCTCTTCATCAGATCTATTGAGAATACAAGAGCAAAAAAGTCCCACGTATCTCAGTCAGTAAAGTTTAAAACTGGCGACAAAAAACTGTTGAAGGTAAATTTTTTACTAATGTCAATCACCATGATCAACTAAAAATCGAAAATATAGAAGAACTAATAGAAGAAAATACTGCAAGTTCATCTCTTCCCTTAGGGGTTCTTTCTTACTCATGAGCAGAGTATACGATCGCGGCGATGTCGTACCGTACAATAGGCTTCGCGACATCGCCACAATCCCTCTGTGGCTCGAAACTAGTTTAGGTAATTTAGTATGTCTCACAGCAGTTATTATAAAAACAATCACCATGATGATGAATGCATTAATGATAAACCTTTATATTTTAACAGTGACACTATTCTGCCTGATGACGATACCGATAATGGTGATGTATCTTGTTTTCAGAACATCACAAAAACTGACGACATTTATGGCATGTATGGCATGAGCGAAGCGAGTGGAGTCGCTGTGCAGCAGGACAGATGTACTCCACCAGGATGTTATGGGAAACCAATTCATGGATTACAG